AATTCAATCTCCATTGCCAATAAGCAAGCGATGATACAATTGTACTGTAATGCACAGCTTGACATTACTACCTTTATTAAGATAAAATGACCGATCTCAACTTAAATTCCCAGTCCAAGTGGGATTGCTATTTTTTGATTCAAAGTAACACATCACAAGAATAACGAAATAATAAATAATTTGGTCACATACCATCTCCATTACAGCTTTTCTCAAACTGCTGCAGCTACTGCTTCAGACTTGAAATGCTATTTAGCATATGGCCGCATATCATTATCATCCAATAGTTGAAAATAAATCTTTATTTACCGTATTCTCCTTCTATACTTCTCCCCCTCTGATTTTACTGCAGCTATATCATGTATAACTTTGGCGAATTTTGTAGCTGAGATATTTCAGCCCATTGGATCTAGTGCAAGGAAACAAATCATCTATATCAAAGTGCAAATGAATTTCTCTAATCAAGGGCAGCTTTCCAGCGGCCAGTTATTGGCTTCGGTAAGCCATCAAAGATTGGTCTAGCCATCGTTGCAGTTGAGAGAGCTTGCAAGTCTTGTTTCAAGCTCCACCTTGACGTTGGCCAAACTGATGCTGTGTTATTACTCTCCTGGTCTTTTAAGCTTGATGTGCTTGATGATTTACGAACAACAGCCATTTCGTCAGTCATGATAGAATCGCCTAATCCCACTGGAATGGAGTTCAACCATCCTGACTCTGAATCAGATTGCAGTACTGCTCGGCTTGCTGATTTCGGCCTCATGGCTAAACCATTTCCTGTTGAAGAAGAGAAACCACTGCTCCCACCACTGTTTTCCCCTTTTAACAGCCTTTCTGGTGTACCAGTACCATTATCAACTTCAGCTTTCTGACGCCTTCGGACCGATTTCTCATCAGATTTCTCACCCTCCCCATTTCCAGGTTCTGCAAGGTGCGTATAATCAGCCATTGCACCATTCTCAGCCAAAAGATCAATTGAAGAATGCCTAGACTTGTTAGGGTGACTTTCAGACAATGGTGAGAGCACCTCATCATTGAAGTATTCTGAACTTCGACTTCTGTAGACTGCCATCTCCATGCCTTCAGCTGTATCCCTCAAATTTGGAGATCTTAGACCATAGTATTTTTGTAAAGTGCTCATTGCTGGAGTGACTTTCTCTTTGGGAGCTTTTGAACCCACAGAGCGGAATGGTTCTAGCACAATAGCTTGGCCAAGACATGGGGTGGATTTTTCAGTGTTGTTTTCTCTGCAGCAAGACATAGAAACTATAAGCTAACTGATGCTTATAAATACAGACTAAGATCGATTGATGCACTTGAGCATCCAGCTACCAGAAACAGTGGGAATTTAGAATTGCAGATTACAAATTCTTAAGGCAGAAGCCGTAACCTCGGTTTTTTTTTCAGCAATAACAGATGTACATTAGATATGGATTACATATATAGAGGCAGGACCGGTGTAGAACTATAGCATGTTTAGGGTGATGCTTCGGTGGATGTATTATAGTTGCAATGGAAAAGGTAGCATGTGAAAATGTAAGTAATAATAACATTTGATATTATCGTTTTGTTGTTGGTATTTCATGCTTATAGATTGTTTGGAATTGGAGTTAAGAAGAAAGAGGGTAGAACAGTAGAGGAAGGCGGGATAAAATGAGAGAACATGGAAGGGAAAGAATTGAGAAGATGTTGATTACCGTAGAGAAAGAGGGGAAGATGGCGGATGTCTTCCTGGCAAAGGTATTTTCAAAGTCTTCAAAGCAAACATTTGAAGATCTGTAGCAAACCCATTCATCCTTTTAATGTCAGCCACCTGTTTGTTTCATTACAAATTTACAAAGCATCATCAGCATTTACCCTTTAGCAATAGCACGAGACCATTAAAGAAAAGTGAGAAACTTAGAACAAGACCAAGAAGAAGAGGGCATGAAGCTGCAGCTGATGATGATAGCAATAATAGGAAGCAATAGACTAGAACTAATAGTAATAGAGCGGGAAATAATCAGAGCCAGGGAACGAACTAATTAAAGACAGGATTTGAAAACAGAGACAAATTAATTTAACGACAGGATTTGAGTAGAGCATATATAAATATAGCAGGGGGATTTCAGAGAAATTAGAAACCTCGACGCCGTATTTGATGGCAACGCCGGCAAGCGTGTCCATCTTGGAGACTTGGTGCTCTATGAAATTCTTGCCTCCTTCTCCTCCTCCTCCTCCTCCGTTATTGCCATTCTCCACCGACCTTGTATTCGAAGGAGACATTCTTCCCCGATCTCTTCCCTTTGTTGTATTTATATGTATATATTATAGCTTAATTAGCTGCTGCTGCTGCCCTCAAATCCAATCTTTGGTTTCTTTCTTGAGAAGAGTTTTAGAAAAGAAAGAGACACAAAAGCAGATCCATACATACAGAACTAAAATATTAAACTAAAAAAAATGGAGTCTACATAAAAGTCAAATGCTTCTCCTGTCCGGGAGAAGCAGCATCAGCATTTCTATTCATAAAATTAAAAAAATTAAAAAAAAAAATTCCTCAAACGCAGAAAGCAAACTAGCCAAGTCTCCCCCAAAGAAAAAGAAGAGAAGAGACGAGAGCTGTGAATTTGTGAATATAAAAAGATAGAAATGGTAAAGTATTATATTAATTTTGTATGTATTTCCCCTGACGCGGAATGATACAGTTGAGTTGAGGACTTGAAGGATGAGGAGAGAGGAGAGAGGAGAGAGGAGAGAGGAGGAGGAAGACAGCGGGCAAGAGAGAGATACCGACTACCGACACATCTCAGCTCAGCTTAGCAGCACTCATTCATTTTTATGATATTTTATTCCATCCATTAAAAGGGAGACTCTCCCTCAATACAGTCACGCAAACAAACGACTCTGCCTCTTTGCGGCCCCCACCTCCACCTCATCTCGTATGTAAAATTGTAATGTATATTCCGTTTCCGTCCTTGTTTTCTTTATTTTTCTTTTATTTGTAGATTTATTTTATTTATTGTACTTATTTGATGATATGATATATCACGCAAGATTTCAATTTTTGAGAACAAAAATGACTTCAAATCATTTATGCATACATCTAGTGGAAGTGGATGGACTAATGCAATTTGAAATTTAATATTTATGGTATTACCGTTTATTAAATCAAAATTTACTATCACATAATATTGATGTTTGTCGCTAAGGGCTCATTTGATATCCTATTTAGATTTAATGTTATAAACTTAAAAACAGATATTTAGTCTAAGTCATAAAAACCCATTTGGTAAGCCCATTTTTGAAAACCCAAACAAACAAAAAAAAACTCAAAAACACTCTCATTATTAAAAACAAAAAAAGTGAGGTTTTACAAAAAAATTTCTCTCTATTTGCACTCTCTCTCTCTCTCTCTCTCTCTCTCTCCTCTCCATTTTTTTCCTGGTAAACTTAGGAAGCACGCATCCTTCTCTCCTCTCTCCTCTTCTCTTCTTCTTCTTCTTCTTCTTTTTTTAATTTATAAATTTCAATTAGGAAATCTAGAGTTTCTAATTTTAATTTCAATTTTTTTTAGATCTTAAAAATAGTTTGGAGTTCAATACCAAACAAGTTTTTAATTTTTTAAAACTCATATTTTAAAAATAAATAATAATTTTTTAATTAATTTTTTTTAAGTATAATACCAAACATACCTTAAATAATTATTAAATAAATCAATTTTATCGTCAGCGAAATTTGAAGCGATTTCTTCAAAGAAAGTCGACTATGAGTGTTATTAGACTGAACACTGATTGGCTACTATATAATTTTAAAGAGATTTTTTATTTAAACCCCACACTTCTCTTAGTTCACTCTATGTTCTAAGTTTACCCCAACTTTTAATTTAAATTTTCACAATTTCTAAGAAAACCCCACTATCTTTCTAAACTACCCTTAAATACACTCCCAAACTAAAAAAATAAGAACTAAAAGAGATTTTCTATTTAAACCCCACAATTTTCTTTGTTCCTAGCAAAAAAAAAACACACAAAATTGAAACCTCAAATCCGAAATTTAATACTTTCTAGAGAAAGAGAACGTCTTTACCTCTCTCTAAGAACTGTAACTGGAATTCTAACACTTGAGTATTGTTGAGAGAGAGAGAGAGAGAGAGAGAGTTTAACAAGAAGTCGGAAGGAAGTTTCTAAAACTTAATATAAAGAGTGGTGGGGTGTGTAGAATTTGTGTATAAATATACTAGGTTTAATTATTAAGTTAGATGACCCTTTTTTATATTTTTACACAATAATAAAACTTACAGCTTAATTATTTAAGTATTGAGGTGAATAAAGAGAAGTGCAGAGTTTAAATAGAAAATCTCAGTTTAAATTATGTGTAAAATCGTCTGACTGACATGTACTGTGTACATATCATATCATACTAGTAAAATTGTCTCTAGCCGCCAGGCGTCCAAGCTCTTCTTTTTTTCAGTTTTCCTTCCTGCTTCCTGCCACGCAATAAATAAACTACCGAATTTTTCCTTGTTGCCTTTATTCTTTTGGCGAGGAATAATATATCGCTCCCACCACCCAAGTTTTATCTTTTACATAAACGAAACGGATAGCATCAAATTGCAGTCCTCTCCTCCTCTAATTCGAGTCGCCCAGGAAAAAAAAAAGAAAAAGAAAACAGTGAGTCAGTCAAATCCTCTTTGGCTCTGGTTCACTTTTTTTTCGGTCGAATGGCTCATTGTTTCATTTGGAAAGGCTTTTTTAAGCAAGGGGAGGGAGAGCGAGCGGGAGCGGGAGAGGGTGCGAGAAACAAGGAAACATAGATAAAAGATGGAAAAGAAAAGGCCCCAGCGAGCAGAGCAGTATTTATTTATTTATGCGTATTATTATGTTTATGCACAATGCATCACCACCACAAGAAGGATGCTTGCAGCAAGCAATGCCTCTTTTTAAAAGGGTCGGCATGTGCATGTGCATGTCCGCAAAATGGAGAATGAAACGAAAGCAAATAGATACAGCACTTGACGACACCTCTCAACTCAAATAAGCCCCCTTGTAGTAGAAGAAGAAACAAGACCATGTAATACACGTATTACAGACGACATCCAAAAATTACCATGGTACCCAAATGGAAATTTTTTACAGGACACAACACAACGCTGATAATGCACATCAAATTCGCACAAAATGATGATGAACCTATAAAAGAATTCGCAACAACGACATTAACAATAGTATTTTACCTATGATTATCAGGGCAAAATATTTTAAAAAGCAACTGTCACTAACTGTTAATGTATAAGATCTTTCTTTGTTCAACAATGGTTGCAGATCCATGCTGCTCATTGCACCTACCAAAAAGACAGAATATTACCTTTTAATTGAAATCTTCATAAAACTATAACATGAGAGAGAGAGAGAGAGAGAGAGAAGAGAGAAAAAGAGGAGGGGGGGGGGGGGGGGGGGGGGTG